GCTGGTGGATGGTCACAGAAGGAATCCCTAGAGAGTTACATTGGCAGGAAAGGAGTAAGCCTTAAAGATAGGGAAGGGGGTGCAGAGAGCTTTCTAGGTAAACTAACGCCTCTGCAAAGACCCCAAGGTAACAAATATGAGAAATAGAAAAGCTGATGGTCCGTTTTCAGAATATAGTATTTAGCTTTCATTGGATCCAATTGTAGCCTTTGCCTTTTGCCCACGCTAATTCTAAAATTAGCCGATTGCATCGATTGTAACCCCAAACTCCTCCAATCAGAATGAAGGATAGCGCTGAGTTAAGGTAGAGGTTTAAGCAGGTGGGCTGCCTGCCCAGGTGCGCTTGCTAGTGTGCCTTTCTGCCAGAAGTAAAGATTTGCTTTGCCCACCCACTTTTCTTAATATTTATATTTTAGTTGTAGTTGGACACAATACCTTTATTTCACTTATTTATTTTTTTATGTGGTGCTGATGATCGAACCCAGGGTCCCGCACTTGCAAGACGAGTGCTCTACCGCTGAGCCACAACCCCAGCCCCACTTTTTTTTTTTTTTTTACTTACTTTCTTTTTTAATGTGGTGCTGAGGATCCTACCCAGTGCTTTACACATGCTAGGCGAGTGCTCTGCCACTGAGCCAGCACCACCCAGCCCTTGTCCACCCATGTTCAAACAGGTGTTTGATTTCTTGTGGCACCTCCTTATTTCCAACAAGAAAAACACCTGGGATATTGGAGGACTAGCTGGACAGTCAGCTGGTGTGGAGTAAGGAAAAAGAGCAGCAGAGATTAAAGGCAGAGGGAGAAGGCTGGTGGAGGGAGGGGTGTCTGCAGTCTCCGCTTTCACCATTTTTAAAACGTGAAAGAGAAGAATCATCCAGGGTGAGTCATCAGCCCAAGGGTGCAGGAGGCTGGGCAGCACTGCCTGCCTGTGTAGCTATTCTCCATTTGGCCAGTGCTTATTTAGGGCGTCCCCCAAGTGAGGCATTTTCTCCAGGATAAACACACACACTCACACGGTTGTGTGAGAAAGAGGTGCTGAAAAAAAGGAACAAATAAAAATATTATGGTAGGATCATAAATCCTAAATGCTTTTTGTCCACCCTGAATTAAGGGAGGACACTTCCCAGAATTCTGCTTATTAGGAAAATTGGAAAATTCTAACAATCACCAGAAGTGGTTCTGTTTCTCTTAGGTGTCCTGACTTCCCTCTGTGCCTAGAGCGGATCACAGCCCTCTGGCTGATTAGACATCAGGATAAAATATTTAATATTTTAAATATTAAATATTTTAATATTTTATATCAAATATTAATTAAATACAATATTTTAATATTTAATATTAAATGAGTATTTAACAATCCATATTCTCCTGGATTGTTAAATACTCATTGAACTTCTATTTCACCGGTAGACTTGCTCAAACTGCTGGGCACCCCCACTCTAGGCACTGATGCTCCTCCTTAGACTTAGTTTTCCTCCAGCAGCTGATCCATTCCAGGTCTGCTGCCCAACCTGTGTTCACATGCCAAGGATCAAGCTTTGGCTCTTCGGGGGTTTATAAATGGATGCTTTGCCTCTCACCATTGCTGTGCTACAAACCAGGGATCAGCAGAGCATGCATGACCACTCTTTCACACATTCCTTCATTCTTTTTTTAAATGCCTCAGCCAGCTCTGTGAAACAGACTTTTCTCTGCATATCTTCACCCCCCCCAAAACGAGCATGAGTAAAGGGTGAAGATGTCAGGCACGGTTTCAGGGATCAAGGAGACATTAGTGCACAGAAAAGTGACGGAAATGAAATTTGGAAGGGCCTTACGCTCTGGTGAGAAGAGAGACCATGAGTAGATAGATATGTGCAAGGTAGTGTGTGCTGTGAGAACAGAAAGGCAGGTAAGGAGGCGGAGAATGACAGCATGTGAAATATGATCAGAACAGTGGTCAAGAAAGGACACTCTGAGGTGGCTTTTGAGCAGGCGTCTGGAAACCTTCAGGAGAGGAGAGTCAGAACGAGGCTCCAGGCCTGGCTATGTTTGTGTGCTAGAACAGCAGCCAGGAGACCATGATGGAGTGGGCCATGTTGGGGAGATCAAAGAACTGTCAGGGGATAAGCTCAGATGGAACCAAAGCAAGGACTGTTAATTTATTTTGAGATAAAAGCTGCGGAAACACAAGAGGCTTGTTGCAGCTGGCAGTTCTGCTGTGAAAACAGACCAGAAGTCCAGTTAGACCTACTGCTGTAGTGCAGACCAAAGACCAAAAAAAAAAAAAGAAGAAGAAGGCTGGAGAAATAGGATATTTTTTCATGGTAGACGTTTTCACGAATACATTTCTTTTGATAATATTCTTTAAGAATTCCGTAGGAAGTCTGAGTAAAAAAAAAAAGTGCCTTTCCTCTGACCTTTTCAGAGACTGTTAAATCTTGATTCAAGAACAAGGAGAAAAGTGGGTTTTGGCAAGCCTTGTGCCACTTACTGGATTCTATTTGCATGCAGTATCATCCTCCACCCTTCTCCCTTTCAATCTGCGTGTGTCATTGCTGGTGACAGGTGAGTTTACAACTTCTCTGTTCAAAGACCTACCTGCCACTTTGGACTTGGCTGCTTGTCCCCCACTGTCATTCTCTTCAACAATGTGTGAGCATCCTTGTAGTGTGGACCACAGCTGTATGGGAACAGCTGGGATGATGGAGGCCTTTATAGATAGCCACAGGTGGATGAGGAAACCGCTTCCTCCATAGTTGTGCCTTCTCAAAGTTAAAAACTTCAAATATTGGAGATCCCTTGCTGGCTACTCCCCTGCACAATCACCCTCTCCCTTCGTGCATCCTAACTGTTTTGCCGAAGCAAAGACCATGACCTTTTTGTGTGGTGCCTCTTGTGTCTTCCCTGTCTGGCAGTCTGGAGGCTCCTCCTCTCCTGCAACCAGCCACAAGGGAAATCTTGGAGGGATCTTGATGGGGGAAGCCCTGACTGGGAAGCCCATTCTCCCTCCTCTCTTCCTGCAAAAACTTCTCATTTTAAAACCATGTGGTTCCTAACACGTGGCAAAGCCAGCACACTACCCTAAGAGGACTGTTGCTCAGTGACTCCTGGCAACAGCCTGCAGAGACAGAGCCCTCTAGAAATGGCCTGAGGCTCACAAGATTCTAGTCAGTACACTCTCCCCACCATGACCAGGGCAAAGGGACCCTTGTTCTCTTTGTTTTTATAATTTGGAGACTTTTTTCCCCTTTCAAAAACAAAACAAAACAAAACATACTGTTCTTTTTAACATGATTTTATCTAAATAAATAAAGGTACGGAAAGAGGTAAGTATTGATGACACAAAGTGATCTGCCTTAGAGTGTGGTACATACAGGACAGTCGATAACTGAAACAAATAACTAATTTAGCCAGCTTTCTTTAAAGAGAGAAAATCACAAGATTACTAGTATTGGACATAATCTTTAAAGCCAATTATTCAAAAAAATCCTGATTTCTTCTAAATTACAACTTTGCAAATTAGTAATAAGGTTACAGGATTTGCTCCACATCAAATAAGGAGACCTTATAAAGTAGTATTATGTTAACTAATTTCCAGATGTTCTATATGGCTTCAGTGTTTCTCACAATAGGCCCTTGGTAGGTGAGGGTCCTCTAGGATTAAAAACTTCATCTCAATGTGGAGAAAGAAAATGAGCTATACAGAGGGTAAGAGGGCAGATGTTGCAGAGGACCTCACCACACACAGGGGACCCCAGCCCAGGGCTGGTCAAATTCCTGCACCTCCACACTCACCCAAGGAGAAATTTAAATCATGATGGAAAGCATCTAAGGACATCATTAAATTCATGGGATGTATATGTGTTCTGATAAAACAAACTTAAAAGGTTTTAGGGGAAAAACCTTTTATTTGAAAATTTAAAACTTGATCAGTTACTATTGCAATGATATTCACACAAAAATGTAATAAGAAACAGGTGAAATAATTTTTAATAATATATTTTATTTAACTCAATATTTCCAAGTTATTATTTTGATATGTAATCAATATAAAAAGGTATTGAGATTTTTTCATGCTAAGTTTTCAAAATCTGGTGTACATTTCACACTTACTCTGTTTTCTTCTTTGGATGCCAAATTTTGATTCAAAATACTTTCTCTGTATTAAGATTTCATTAAATTTACAGTTGAAAAAGTAGATTCACATAATCAAGTCATTCTAAGCATACTTAAAAGTTTTCCCCTAATAACTAAATTTAATTTTTTTTAAAATTAACAATTCAGTTCCTCAGTTTCTTTTTCCTTTTGGTACCAGGTATTGAACTCAGGGGCACTCAGCCACTGAGCCACATCCCCAGCCCTATTTTGTGTTTTATTTAGAGACAGGGTCTCACTGAGTTGCTTGGGGCCTTACCATGGCTGAAGCTGGCTTTGAACTTGCAATCCTCCTGCCGCAGCCTCCTGAACAGCTGGGATTATAGGTGTGCACCACTGTGCCTGGGGGTTCCTCAGTTTCATTAGCTACATTTAGGGTGCTCAGAAGTCACACATGGCCGACAACTATACTGTGTGTGACAGCTGACGTAACTGCCACAAGGATGTCTGCACAGGCTGCTGCTGCGCCTGGGCCACTCAGAGCAGACTGTCTTTAACCTCTTAACAAAACAGAAGAACTTTCTTACAGCTCAATCTGTCCACTGTTCTCATTAACATTTTATAAGCAAATAAAATGGTTCTTAGTTATATTTTCTCAAAATTTGCCGTGTTTTCTTGTAAACTATCAGCTGCATTCAGATGGAAGACAAGTGCTCCAGGCTGTATTATGAAGAAGTTAGAATTGCATGGATTCTAAACATCCCATATAGCCATGTGCAAACTTTATGGCACGATTTCAAACTAACCCCTCTAAAAATAGTGTTTAAAAGAGATCCAACTATATGTTTTTAAAAGCAGGATGAAATATTATTGAAGTTATTTACTTATATTAATTCCTAAAATTCAAAACATCAAACCATTTTTATGCCACACAGGAAATGTTTTAGAAATAATTCTCCATTATTTTATGATCTCATTATAAGTTGCACTTAAAAGCAAATACTAAACCACTTAGTTACTAGACCTAAGAACAGCTACAGATTTTCCAACTTATATCTGTGTGACCCTTGAAATTATAAAACCCACTGATCAAAATAGAGGCTAAAATCTTTACCACAAGTGAAAACTAACCCTGTTCTCAATCTGTTACAAAAATGTGAGACTCAAACGTTGGAGCTGATTAAGGAATGCGTCTACCCTGGGGATGGAGTGGTGTTGCCTTCCTCACATCTTGGCTCTCTGCGCTTTGGCTTGGTCCTGTAGCTCCATCTTGGCAATTGCTGAGAGGTGCACTTCATCGGGTCCATCTGCTAGGCGCAGAGTTCGTGTTAATGCATACCTGATAAAAACAAAAGAGCAGGGATTTGTGGGAGGTGTCAAAGAGGAACATGATAATTTAATGAAATAATAATTCTAAACCAAGATTAATTCCAATACAGCAGGAATAAGAAAAGGATTGCAATTAAAATGAAAGGAGTAAGCCAAAGGACTTCCAAGATGCTATTTTAAAGTTCCTAACTTGGGAGGATTCAAGATGGCTAAATAGAGGTGGCAGTACTCACTCACTTCTCTACAGAGAACTCTAGCAACAGGTGAACAAGTGCATTTTGAGGTGAGTGATTTTGAGAGACCACTAGAGATTGGCAAAGAGAAAATGGAACCTTGGGAAATGTAGAGACCTGGGATAAAAGCAAAAAACCCCAGTATCTACCATCCTGACTCTGCAGGGTCAGGGTGAAAGGAAGAATTCCAGCACACTCTATTAATGAGGATGCTGGCAATCCTAGCTACTAGAAAGGCTCATAACCTCACAGGCTTGAAGCCCACTTAGATAGGTAAGCTGAAATCTGCACAGTGGCCTTGCTTTGGAAAGGATTTCACATCGTCTCCTAGTGAACTCACACGGTGCTGTGGCCAGGAGCCATCTTGAGAAGGGAGCTGTGGTCTGAATTTGGACTGATCTAGGATTCAGAAACCTACACATGCCCACCCTGGGAGCCCACGGACGTTCCACTGCACTGGCTCAGAAGGTAGTTGCTTCATTAACCCCCAGCTTGGTGCAGCAGAGTGACAGTGACAAAGCCTGAGAGCTGCCCTGCTCTGCAGGGGACTGGTGCTGCAAAATGGGGAGAGTGGAGGTTGGTGCCCTTGAGAACTACAGGCTGGAGGCACTTGCCCTCTGAGTCCAAGGGTATGGCCAGCTGCTGGGAGACTCACACCATTCCAGGACTTAAGGCAGATGCCCGTGCAGTTTGCTGATGCCCTCTACCTGGGCCAGTTTCACCTGCTACTGATAGAGCAAGGAGGGAAAACTATAGTTCCTGCGACTGCTCAGACCACAGGGATGAGCTGAGGGGCCTTGGGCAAGAGTGGGTCCAGCCATTGCCTCGCCCTCACATGTGCACTGTAGATAAAGGACTTGTGAAAAAGTCATGGATCCAGCAGCCACTGTAAACCCAGGTGTGCATGGCAAAAAGGGACCAAGAGGAATTTTACCTGACTTCAGCCACCACTGCACCAAAATGGCAAAGAGGAACACTGTGGTTGGTTCCTGTTGCTACCCTGCCATCTGGCTATGCACTGCTGTCAGAACTGGATGTGAGGACCACAGAGAGGGTGCTGTAGTTCCTGCCACCTCCTTTCCCCATGCAGATTCTGGGCTTGAACCAGTGGGGTTAATCTCATTCTTGGTTTGCCACATGTTACCAGAACTTGGAAGAGCTAAGAGGTGTCTTAAGTAAGATACAGGTAGCAAATGGTATTACAGCATATGTTTTGTTCTTTCTTAAGGCTAAAAATCCATGGAAGGTGAGACCCTACTTCCAGTGCGATAGACCAGGTGCACTGTGGCCATGTGTGGGGACAGATATTGGATGGAGAATGCTTCTTCTAACCTCCCTGTAATGAGAATCTGGCTATTTCATGGCCACTGGCATTCTCTGCTGCAAGTGCAGCTGCTGGTTCCCTGTGTGGCTGGTGACTTGTCCCATACACATAGAGTTGGCTCTCGGCTGTTTGGCTCTCTCTGGTACTCCCCACCTTCGTATTTCTGGGTAGATCTCCATGCTATGTCTGTATGCCAGGAGTCCTTAGTGGGTCCTCTTGGTGTGAAATTTAACATGTCAGAATGAGCTGATGATTGTAATTATGAGTCAAATATTTCTTGGTGCTGAGGTCTATATTAAAAGTCCCAGTATCACTTCATTAAGCCTTCAATTATGCTGTAAAGTAAGTATCTTTATTTTCTTCCTAAACAATTAGTGTCAAGGTTTTGATATATTTTTAATTAAATATTCTATATCCACTCACATGTTAGCCAGAGGGAAATCCTGAGAGACGCCTGCACCTCCACACACTTGGATGGCTCGGTCAATGATCCTGCAGACGGCCCGTGGGGCAGCCACTTTGATCATTGCAATCTACAATAGCAAGATATGCAAGAATGCTTTTTTAGACCATACACACAGAGCCAGAATTTGATAAAATCTGTATTTTCCTCTGTGAATTGAAATAAGGAAAATTTCCCACAGCAAATCACCACTAAAACAAGATCTTTGGTGAAAGCCAACAATGAGATTTGTTATAATGTAGTTAGTGGCCATATTTCAATCAATGCAGACCTTCTGGAAAGAGCTATCTCTTCCAAGTCATGTTTTATTCATTTATTTATAATTTGCCTCATTTCCAAAAGGATTTCAGGCAGCTCATAAATTACACTCATCATGTTTGGGGTCATAAAAAGAGTTCAAGGGTCATCACTCCACTACTCAGTTTTCTCTTAGCGATTTTATGGGCTTTTAGAAATAAATGACATGTCCTTATCCCATATAAGCCAGAAGGAAGGCAGTGGCAAGAGGTGCCTTTGTGAAACATTACTATGTGGCAGAATTGTCCTGTGCATTCTATATGTATCACCTTGGTTACTCTCCTCAAGAACCCTGAGCCAAAGCAGAAAGATCAGTTACTTTGCCCATGGTCACAGGCTAGAGAAAGTGGCATAGTGAGTACTATTAATTCCAGGTCTATATAAAGCCTAGAATTTCCCCATTCCTTGTTACTGCATATCAAGAAAGCTGAAGATATTCTGCATCCCTCAAAATCATCCCTTAAAGCAGCCCTATGAAAACTAGCAAATAATAGATATTTATAATATTTAAACCATAATTACTGAAGGCTTCCAATATTTTGAGAGCCACTGAAGTGTCTTAAAACCTGAAATGCACAACGGATGGGAGAAAATGAAAAAGTCTCTGCAGTTAGTGGTCCAGGGAGCCTCACCTCCTTTCTGGCACCAGCGCTGCCCAGAGTATCTATGCTGTGGGCAGCTTTCAAGGTCAACAAGCGGATCTCCTCGATGGCAATTCGGCTCTCAGCAATCCAGTGAGCCACAACTTCCTGTAGGGGAGCAAAAGGAAGGAGAAGATAAGCTGGTATTTGAAGATCACATGTGACACAGCTTTATAGTTTGAAGAAAACAATTTCTAGGCCAATGATGTTTCTGTATATTTCAAAATGAAAGAGTTCATTCGCTTGATATACACCACCTAGCCACTTACCTGTGGACTACTAGTTAAAATTGAAAATTTAAAAATAAACTTTATTGGTTCCGAAAAATCTTTTATTTTGGATATCTTTATGCTTAAGATGTCTGAACTGGGCAGTTTATTGCCAAACTACTCCTGAATGGCCCTCCTGAATGCAAATTACATGTTCTCATGGAAACCTGACTAGATATTTGGTGGTGGAGTTGGCCACGGTCAAAGTAGATAATTCCCAGCCAAGGGATAATTCAGCAGCACTCTTTTTTTAATTTCATAATTTTATTTATTTATTTATTATTTTTTTGTATTGTGGATTGTACCCAGGAGCACTTAGCCACTGAACCATATCACCAGACCTTTTTTGAATCTACCAGTTCTGCCTGTCCTCAAAACTCCCAAGCAATCTACAAAAAAATTTTCTATAATTTATGTTATTTCAAGATCATAGGATATAAGATAGACATACATAAATCAACTGCATATATATAATATATATGTGTATGTGTGTATATTAAAAATATAGAGACACAAAAATTAAAAATACAACACCATTTGCAATTGCTCAAAAACCAAAATACTTATGTGTAAATAGAGTTAAGTACTGCTCTATATGTAAGTAAAGTTAGGCATAGTTGTGGCATACATTCTAGGAAATGTGTTCTTAGGTGATTTTTTAATTGTGTAAACATCATAGAGTGTACCTACAAATATGAAAACAGCTATGACATCACTAGGTGATACATCTTATGGGACCACCATGTATATGCAATCCATCATTGACTAAAACATTGTTCTGTGAAGTATGACTTTGTAAAAGGACATGCATAGGATCTGTATGCTGAAAGCTACACAGAGATGATAAAAGAGACCAAAGAAAAGCTAAATAAATGGAGACACACACCATGTTCATGGAATAAAAATACAACATAGTAAAGTATCTGATAAGCCCAGCCTAATTCCCTCTTAAGTCAGGAGCCATCTTGTCAAAAGTTATAAAAGATTCATTTCTGTTTTCTGTAAAATATTAGGATTTCTATTTGGCCTGGCTGTATTTTGATGTTTTAAACTTGTTTGGAATGCCTGCCCGTGCCTTGAACTCATCCATGCCTGGCTTTCCCTAACCAGATAACAACCCTCTCTGAAACCTTAGTGGCGCCTCATAAATTCTGGCTTTCCCTGACCAGATAACAACCCTCTCTGAAACCCTAATGGTGCCTCCTAAATTCTGATGTTGGGATCTAAATTTACTCCCTAAGTACTGAACCATTTAGACCATTAACCTACTACCTGCCTTTGTATTATGCTTGACAAAATCCTGTTATCTGAAGTTCTCAAGACACCTCCCTTTTTGCAAATTTCTGTGCTATAAAGCTGCACTCCTAGAGAGCTGGAGTACTGTCTTCTATCCCACGGATTTTGGGAGAGGGACAGTTCCAGCTAGTCAGAATTACAAGCTTGCTTTAATTTGATTTAAAATTGGAGTCGGTGGTATTTTCTTTGCATCGTGGTTTAACATATTAATTCTTTCTAAACTGATGTATACATTTAACATAATTCTTATCAAAATCCCAGAAGGACTCTTTGTATAGATATGAACACGATTATTCTAAGAATTACATGGAAAGGGAAATGAATGAGAACAGCTAAAACACTTTTGAAGAGAAGTCAGTCACTAAATGACTTTTGAGAAGAGTCAGTCTAGTTTATTTCAAGAAAAGTTTTATTACTACAGTAAGCAAGATTGTGTGGTGTTTGCTGGCAGAGAGACAAACATAGATAATGAGGATATAAGACAACCAAAAATAGGCCCACATAAATATGCCTGATAGATTTTTGAAAAAGGTACAAAAGCAATTCAGTAGAGGAATTTACAACAAATTTTGCTGAAGCAATTGGACATCTGTAGGGGAAACAACCAACCAACCACCACAACAAAAAACAAACCAAACCAAACAAAAATCAAACTTAAGTCTTATATGTTATTAAAAAAATTAACTCAAGGGGCTAGGGCTTTACTTCAGTGGCAGAGTGCTTGCCTAGCATGTGTGAGGCACAGGGTTTGATCCTCAGCACCACATAAAAAAATACAGAAATTTTAAAAAAATCAACTCAAAATGTATTGCATATTCAAATTAAAAATTTTAAGGAAAAAAATCATAGGGGAAAATCTTTAGGACATAGAGTGAGACAAAGAGACAAAGAATTCTTAGAGTTGATACCAAAACCATGACCCATAAAAGCAAAAAATGACAAGTTAGGATTCATTAAAATTAAATTTGCTCTGTGAAAGACCTTGTTAAGGATGAAAAGAGGGGGAAATATTTGCCAATTACATATCTGACAAAGGAGATTTTCTGGAATATGTATAGAACTCTCAAAATGCAACTGTAAAAAAATAAACAATTAGAACATGGGCATAATACATAAACTTAAGAGGATATAAGATGGCAAATAAGCACACAAAAGGCTCATTTATGATTAGATATTTGGGTGATGTAATTAAGGCCACTTGAGATAGCGCCATTAGTCTATCAGAATGACTGAAATTTAATAAGTTTCAAACCATAATATGCTGGTGGGAGTGAGGACAAACTGGGTCATTTATACACAGTGAGAATGAAAAACAGAAGAGAGTCTGGCAGCTTCTTTAAAAATTAAACATGGTAGGCTGGGGGTGTAGCTCAGCAATAAAGTGCTTACCTAGCATTTGTGAGGCCCTAAGTTTGATCCCTAGTACCTCAAAAAACAATAGAAAATTAAGCATGCAACTGTATATGATCTGTTGTAAGTAGTTAAGCAAACTTGTCATACAACCATACAAGTAAATGCTACCACAAGAAAAGTGATACATGCAACCTAGATAAATCTCTAAAAGATAGTGCTTGAGTAAAGAAACCGATCACAAAGGTTTACATACTGCATAATTCCATTCCTGGAATCATAGAAGTATAAAAATGAACACCTAGTTGGTTGCTAGGAGTTAATTGTAGGCCATGAAAGGGTGGTGTGAAGGACCTGGTAGGGATGGAAATGTTCTGTAGCCTAACTTTATCCATAACAACATTGTGGTTCTGATACAAGATGTTACCATTGGGGGATGTAGGGGATCTCTCTGTATTATTTCTTATACCTGTATGTCTATTTATAATTATCTCACAACAAAAAGTTTTTAAAAATTGGTAATTGCTTCTCATTTATCTTAGTGAACATCTCTTGAGATTGTCCCCTTTTGTCAAGCCTCACCATAAACCCCAGGAGCAAATGTATATTTAGAATTCAGCACAGAAGCTCAGGCAACATACTGAATGTTTCCTGTTAGCTGAAATCCGTTCTTGTTTCCCAATTGTAAACATAGAATTGGTTTTTACATTGGAGAACAATGTTTGTTAAGAAAGTTAGACTGGCAGTGCTTTCACCCAAGCCACACTCACCTGCCACAGCCATGGTTATGCACCATCATGTTTGCTTTGGGAAATTTCTTTAGCCATAGGATGTTTGGTTAGAGATTCTCTGGAGCACTTATGTTCAGAATGACAGCCACTAATCAAATGTGGCTACTAAGCATTTAAAATATGCTTAGTCTGAATTGAAATGTAATGAAAGTGTAATAGAGATGCCCAATTGTAAAGAATCAGTATTTTGGAATAATTTAAAATAGCTCCTTAATAATATTTTTATATTGATTTCAAGTTGAAATGATCATGTATTGGGTATCTTGGGAAAAATAAAATATTTTTTAAAATTAATTTCATTTATTTGTTTTTACTGTTTAAAGATGTTGCTAAAGTACTAGAAGATTTAAAATTATATATGTGCTGGTGGCATATGTCTGTAATAACAGCTACTCAGGAGCAGAAAGACTATAATTTTGAGGCCAGCCAGTGCATCTCTGTCTCAAAAAATAAAAAAGACTCAAGGAAATACCTTAATGGTAGAGTGCTCTGGGTTTACTCTCCCATACCACAAAAAATAAAATTTGTGGCTCATACTGCATTTCTATTGAATGGCACTATCTTAGAGGTTGAAACATATAGTTCTGAATTCATGATTTTAAACAAGCTGCTGGCAGTCAACAGAATTTTTTTTATGGTTGCAAAACCAAGTAATTGTAACTTCATGAGCAGAATCAAAATGCATTTACTTTTTTAGCTTCAGAATAAAAGAATGTGTTCTCAACTGGGTCATTTCAGACCCTAGATTTGCTAAAAAGCATTAAATGAATAGAACTGAGTGCTCTAGGAAACTGACAAATTTATTTACTAAGACTGAATTTTGCTTTAGAAACTGGAATTGTTTGAAGAGAGCTGGAAGGAGTCTCCAAATTCAGGGATATGGAATGTTAAACTTTCACAAATTGGGCGGCGGGTGGTGAGTAAGCTGGCCTGAATTTTTGTTTATGACATACATTTCTCTTTTTTGCCTCAGCTAGATCATCTTATTTGTACCAGATGTGAGAAGTTTCCAATAAAGAAGCATATTTTTAAAAAGCAGAAACTTCTATCTAGCGTAGCCAGGTACAGTGGCATATGCCTGTGATCCTAGCAACACTGGAAGCTGAGGTAGGAGGATCTCAAGTTCAAGATCAGTTTCAGCAATTTAGCAAGACCTTGTCTCAGAATAAAAAATGCAAATGTCTGGGGATATAGCATAGGGGTGAAGTGCCCAAAGCAAGTTTGAACAATGTATCAATTTTACTCTGTCCTCCCTTCACCCTGCTCAATGAATTGTGTGGCAAAAACTGAAAAGAGAAAAGGGGAAGAGGCCATAGTTGATGCTAGGAGCAACTCTTTCATCCCTAAATAGCAGCAGCAGGGCTGTATCCATGACCCCAAAACCTCCTCCAACAGTGCCCATCAATAGCTGAACACTTCCCCTGCTGTGTACTCTGTACTCTGAGGTTCACCACAAACTATTCTCAGTTATGCTATCATAAAGCGAGCTCTATTTTCTTCATGAGAACAGTGTTGCAACTAAGCCATGTGTAGGCTGAATGAGCATAAAGACTACAAGATACTGATCTCAGTAACCATTGCTATTCTTTTTGTGGCTCTCTCCTTCCTGCCCCTCCCCCTCGCACTACTGATGTTATTAATATTAGCATTAGTAATACTGCCATTATTACTAATATTAAACATGTTATACTTCATGGAAAGCAAACACAGTCTAAGAATTTGGATAAAAAATATACTGCAAAAATTTAAAAAAAGATCACAAGTGTACTTTACAAGGGGATTGATGTCCTAAAATATACTTGTCCAGTAAACACAAATACAGTTCTATGAATACAAATTTTACCTAATATTAGCTTGTTAGTAATAGTACATGTTAAATATTTAATAATACTTTTTCTTGATTTCTTAAAAATTAGAAAGGTTTTTTTGGGGATGATTTCATTATCCCACTTTCTGTAGAAAGTTTTTCAAGGGAGACCGCCGCCCATGCCTGCAAGGTAGGCAGACCTGTGACTGACCGGGAGAACAGGCCCAGCGGCCCGCCGGCGTGGTAGACAGATCACCCCAATTGGAGGAAGGGCCCAGCCGCTGCCTGCAAGGTAGGCAGACCGCGCGACCCGGAGAAGGGGCCCAGCGGCCCGCCGGCCTAGTTGAAAGATCACCCCAATTGGAGGAGGGGCACAGCCGCCGCCTGCGCCTACAAGGTAGGCAGACCTGCAACCTGGAGAACAGGCCCAGCGGCCCGCCAGCGTGGTAGACAGATCAACCCTATTAGAGGAGGGGCCCAGCCGCCGCCAGCAAGGTAGGCAGACCGAGCGTCCCGGAGAAGGGGCCCAGCGGCCCGCAGGCGTGATAGACAGATCACCCCAATTGGAGGAGGAGCACAGCCACTGCCCGCGCATGCAAGGTAGGCAGACCTGCGACCTGGAGAACAGGCTCAGCGGCCCCCCCCCCCCCCCGCGGTAGACAGATCACCCCTATTGGACGAGGGGCCCAGCCGCCACCTGCAAGGTAGGCAGGCCGTGTGGCCTGGAGAAGGGGCCCAGCGGCCAGCCGGCGTGGTAGACAGAGCACCCCAATTGGAGGAGGGGCCCAGCTGCCGCCTGCGCCTGCACGGTAGGCAGACCTGCGACCTGGAGAACAGGCCCAGCGACTCGCCTGAGCGGTAGACAGACCTCCCCAGTTGGAGGAGCCCAACCTCCCGCCGGTGAGGTAGACAGACCACTCCAACTGGAGGAGGGGCCCTGCCGCCCGCCCGTGCGGTCACCTGACCGAGCTCTTGACAAACATAAGGTTTCCCCAACACCCCCACCTCATCAAACACCTTATGAGAAAAACTGATGGAACTCATCTTAGAAAATCCCACTAACCCTTAAAACCCACCAACCGGTTGGCTGGCGTGGCTACCAGTGTGGTTCTGCAGCAGATCAGGCACCTGGTTTACATCTCAGAGAATAAGAGTAGAGAGGCCACAGGTGGAAGCTCAAGTCCTCTCACACTGACTACCACCACCATCCTGAACCCAGAGACTCAAGCTAGGAATAGACAACGCCACCAACTGGAAGAAATTAAAACAGAGTTCTGAGAGACATCTTTTTTTTTTTCTTTTTTTCTTTCTTTTTCTCTCTTCTCTCTCTCTTTTCAGCCATTCACCCAGTCTTCTCTACCCTTCCCCCTCAGGTCTTCGCAACCTCAACATATGTGAAACCAAAAATTGTACACAAAAAAGGTCTTTAACAACTGAATCACCAGAATAATACACTATAGAGGAATTGCATATGCCCCTTCTCCCTTCCCCCTTTTTATTCCTTTTCTTTTTTCTCATATTTTCTTTTTCCCGCTCTCTTTTTTCTCTCCCTTTCCTTGTTATCTGTTTTCCTCCCTCTTACTCCCTCTGTCCCACTTGCAACCCCCTAAATTTTACTATTCATAAGTAGGGTAATCTTATAAATACTGATAGGAATTTGAATCTATACATTCTTCCATAAATTACCCATCTATTGGTTAGAGCTCTCCAAAGTTACTGTTAGATTAACCCCATACCCTCACTCCTTTCCCCATAAACATAACATCCTACACGTGAAATACAGTTTTCTTCAAGCTACCAGAAATGGTATGCCTTTCATGAAACTAATGACTATATTTGTAAACGATAATCAAAACCAACATTTGTAGTCATAGAGTCTAGCTATAAATGTAGTAATAAGGAAAACTTGTGCTTAGATGATGTACTATTGATATTGAGAACTGTTAAAATTGGCTTTCTCCACAAAAGGGAGACTTTGCAGCTATACAAGAGCAATATAAATATATAGGGGGAAAATTCAATAACACAACAGTTTCACCAAGCAGAAAGAAACACGAGCAGTATGAAAAGACAAGGAAAGAAAGGACCACAAGCAATGCAGGTCAACTCAACTTTAGAAGAGGTAATATCTGCAGCAGATGGAATGTCAGATAAAGAATTCAGGATATACATGCTTCAGATGATCTGGAGTCTCAAGGAAGACATTAGACAGCAAAATCAGACAATGAAAGATCACTTCGACAATGAATTACATAAACAAATCCAAGAAGCAAAAGATCAACTATACAGGGAGATAGAGATTATAAAAAAACAAACAAACAGAAATCCTAGAAATGCAGGAAGCAATAAACCAAATTAAAAACTCAAATGAGAATACTACCAGCAGAGTAGAATACTTAGAAGATAGAACATCAGACAATGAAGACAAAGTATTTCAACTTGAAAAGAGCATAGACAGCTCAGCGAGACTGTTAAGAAACCATGAGCAGAACATCCAAGAAATATGGGATAACATAAAGAGACCAAACTTAAGAGTCATTGGGATACAGGAAGGTATAGAGGTCCAAACCAAAGGAATGAGCAATCTGTTCTACGAAATAATACGAGAAAACTTCCCAGACTTGAAGAATGACACAGAATCCCAAATCCTAGAAGCCTACAGGACACTGAATGTGCAAAATCATAAGAGATCCACACCTAGACACATTATAATGAAGATGCCCAACATACAGAATAAGGAGAGAATTTTAAAAGCTACAAGAGAAAGGAAGCAGATTACATTTAGGGGTAAGCCAATCAGGATAACAGCTGATCTTTCAACACAGACTCTGAAAGCTAGAAGATCCTGGAAAAACATATTTCAAACGCTGAAAGAAAATGGGTTCCAACCAAGAATTGTGTATCCAGCGAAATTAAGCTTTAGGATGGAAGATGAAATTAAAACCTTCCACGATAAACAAAAGTTAAAAGAATTTGCAGCTAGAAAACCATCTCTTCAAAACATCCTCGGCAAAACATTACAGGAAGAGGAAATGGAAAATAACAATGAAAACCAACAGTGGGAGGTAGTACAGTAAAGGGAAAAAATAACCAAAGAGGAAAAACAAACCATGTTTAGTAACATAAATAAACAAATATGGCTGGAAGAACAATCCATATCTCAATAATAACCCTAAATGTTAATGGCTTAAACTCACCAATTAAGAGACACAGGCTAGTAGAATGGATCACAAAACAAGACCCAACAATATGCTGCCTACAGGAGACGCATTTGATAGGAAAAGACATACATAGGCTGAAGGTGAAAGGTTGGGAAAAATCATATCACTCATATGGACTTCGGAAACAAGCAGGAGTGTCCATACTCATATCAAATAAAATAGATTTCAAGCCAAAGTTAATCAAAAGGGATAAAGAGGGACACTACATACTGCTCAAGGGAACCATACACCAATAAGACATAACAATCATAAATATATATGCCCCAAACAACGGTGCAGCTATGTTCATCAAACAAACTCTTCTCAAGTTCAAGAGTCTAATAGACCACCAACCAATAATTATGGGAGACTTCAACACACCTCTCTCATCACTGAACAGATCTTCCAAACAAAAGTTGAATAAAGAAACTATAGAACTCAATAATACAATTAATAACCTAGACTTAATTGACATATATAGAATGTACCACCCAACATCAAGCAGTTACACTTTTTTCTCAGCAGCACATGGATCCTTCACAAAAATAGATCATATATTATGTCACAGGGCAACTCTTAGACATTATAAAGTAGTAGAGATAATACCATGCATCTTATCTGATCATAATGGAATGAAACTGGAAATCAATGATAAAAGAAGGAAGGAAAAATCATGCATCCCTTGGAGAATGAACAATAGGTTACTGAATGATCAATGGGTTATAGAAGACATCAAGGACGAAATTAAAAAATTCTTAGAGATAATTGAAAACACAGACACAACTTATCGGAATCTATGGGACACAATGAAAGCAGTTCTAAGAGGAAAATTCATTGCTTGGAGTTCATTCCTTAAAAAAAGAAAAAACCAACAAATAAATGATCTCACACTTCATCTCAAAATCCTAGAAAAAGAAGAGCAAAACAACAGCAAAAGAAGTAGAAGGCAAGAAATAATTAAAATCAGAGCTGAAATCAATGAAATCGAAACAAAAGAAACAATTGAAAAAATTGACAAAACTAAAAGTTGGTTCTTTGAAAAAATAAATAAGATCGACAGACCCTTAGGCATGCTAACGAAGAGAAGAAGAGAGAGAACTCAAATTACCAGCATATGGGATGAAAAAGGCAATATCACAACAGACACTTCAGAAATACAGAAGATAATTAGAAATTATTTTGAATCCTTATACTCCAATAAAATAGAAGGTAGTGAAGGCATCGATAAATTTCTTAAGTCATATGATCTGCCCAGATTGAGTCAGGAGGATATAGACAACCTAAACAGACCAATATCAATTGAGGAAATAGAAGAAGCCATCAAAAGACTACCAACTACGAAAAGCCAAGGACCGGATGGGTATACAGCAGAGTTTTACAAAACCTTTAAAGAAGAACTAATACCAATACTTTTCAAGCTATTTCAGGAAACAGAAAAAGAGGGAGAACTTCCAAATTCATTCTACGAGGCCAACATCACCTTGATTCCTAAACCAGACAAAGACACTTCAAAGAAAGAAAACTACAGACCAATATCTCTAATGAACCTAGATGCAAAAATCCTCAATAAAATTCTGGCGAATCAGATACAAAAGCATATCAAAAAAATTGTGCACCATGATCAAGTAGGATTCATCCCTGGGATGCAAGGCTGGTTCAATATACGGAAATCAATAAATGTTATTCACCACATCAATAGACTTAAAGATAAGAACCATATGATCATCTCGATAGATGCAGAAAAAGCATTCGACAAAGTACAGCATCCCTTTATGTTCAAAACTCTAGAAAAACTAGGGATAACAGGAACATACCTCAATATTGTAAAAGCTATCTATGGTAAGCCTCAGGCTAGCATCATTCTGAATGGAGAAAAATTGAAGGCATTCCCTCTAAAATCTGGAACAAGACAGGGATGCCCTCTCTCACCACTTCTGTTCAACATAGTTCTCGAAACACTGGCCAGAGCAATTAGACAGACAAAAGAAATGAAAGGCATAAAAATAGGAAAAGAAGAACTTAAACTATCACTATTTGCAGTTGACATGATTCTATACCTAGCAGACCCAAAAGGGTCTACAAAGAAACTATTAGAGCTAATAAATGAATTCAGCAAAGTGGCAGGATATAAAATCAACACGCATAAATCAAAGGCATTCCTGTATATCAGCGACAAATCCTCTGAAATGGAAATGAGGACAACCACTCCATTCACAATATC